GGATTTTTCACCACAGAGTATGCAGTTTAAATCTCCATGAAACCGTCTCATGATATATTGGTGTCTGAGTCATGTCTCATACAGAAGTTTGTTATTATTTTGAACTGATTTCTGCTTGCTTTCCCGACCAATTTAGCCCTTTTAGCGCAAAATGGTTCAGTATACGTTTTGTGTGTAATTAATCTTTGGCCATTATCATTTGTATTCATATATTTACTTTTACACCCGTCTGGTTCCGAGGCAGGCTTTATATCGGTTCCTTAAGCCTTGTTTTCTTTTACAATGTGTAGGATGCTAATCTGGTCCTCAAAGGTCCTGACCAACAAAATCAATATACTTACAACTTTATCAGATAAACAACAAGGATTCAGATCCGGAAGATTAGGCGTAGATGCCGTATTTGTACTAAGACAAATCACAGAAAAGACCATCGAATACAATAAACCAGCATATCTAAGTTTTATAGACCTGACAAAGAATTTCGATCGCATCCAAGTCGAAGATGTCCTACACCTACTGTATAAAAGAAAACTTCCAATCAATATTATAGTGCGAGATAAGTAACCAAATGGATGAAGTAGTATTGGCAGACCAAGAAAAAGATAGTGCGATAATTTAAACAATTTATCAGGCTAATATTAAAGAAGAAACAACCTTTAAAGCCTACATACAAGAAGAAAGAAGAAGAAGAAGACTTTTACACTCTGTTATATTTTTATAAATATCTTCTCTTCCAACTTTTGCAATGGCGTGGCCTATAATAGTTTTAATATCTTGTCTGGGTACTTCTTCGGTCAATGAAGAGTTCACAAAATTCATCTTTCATTTTTTCTCCTTTTTCTTCTGTTGGAACGTATATATTTATCAGCGATATCATGTTTTCTTTTCCTTTAGTTCTAATTGCGCACATTCTGTCAGATTTTGCTCCACGTCTTCAAGTACCAGAAAACCCACTCCCAAATTCCTATTATCGCCTCCACTTGTATAAAACGACTAATATTTTCGAAGTTCTTTCCCCTCAAATGCATTTCTTGTATAGCAATGGTGTATATTTTATATTTCGTAAGTTCTTCTCTCAGGTTAATGAATACTCCCTCCTCGTATACTCCTCGTACAGTCCATGCCGCAATCTTTAGCTACGTAGTCTTATTTGTTGTTTCGCGACTTATTTTTCAACTTATTTTTCTGTTTTTCTACTCCTATATGATATTTTTTGGGTCGATATTTCTAGAATTTTCTTTTTCGAAAGTAACATTTCCGGCCCATTCGTATTTTATGCCATCCACAGTTATTTCTCTGCACCTTATCTTCACGTTTTTACCTTCAACTCCTAATTCCTTGCCTTTATATACAATCTTGCCTCATGTGCTTTTCCATTTCGATCATGTCATCGTTGATAAAGATCTTCTCGCTAGTAAGAATTATAAGTTAACTTTTTTCTTTCAATACCTTTTTTTTTTCGTCATAATCCTTCATTTGTACTAGACATGTTTTGTTTCTTAGCTTGATTGCAGATTCTATTTCGACTTCCTAGTTTCTTATCTCTTATCTTATGTTCCCAATATTTCTCTTTTAACTAGTTTATTCGTTATTTATTAAAGCAATAAGTTTATACTTAATTATAAAAATATGATTAACGTTCAAATCTCAAAGGTTTGCCCTTCGATATAGACCAAATAACACTGTCATCGCTTGCACTAACTGAGCTAAGGTTGTGGGCTAATGTGTGTGGTGTGCGTGTGTTTTGCAGGCTTACAATCGAGTAAGCACTTGTGCCACGTATGCAATAAGAACTTCTCGTCGAGTTCGGCCCTGCAGATTCACATGAGGACCCACACCGGAGACAAACCCTTTAGATGTACAGTATGCCAGAAGGCCTTCACCACCAAGGGTAATCTCAAGGTAAGTCTTTCCCTTCCGATCGTCTGCTTAGCTTTACTAATGCTAAATAGTACATAACAATTTCTACAAGTACGACTATAAATGCTGTGATAAGGAAATTGTAGAGTACCCGGAACAGAATTGTAGAACAATAAAAATTTAATACTCTAATATTATTGTTATTTAAATTGTTAAGTACTATCACTAACTTCAAAAAGGTGTAGGGATTTCATTTGCCACGCTTAAGCCAAAAAGTACCATTTGAAGTAGAAATGTTAACAGAATATACGTAGACTAAGAATTTAAATAAATTTTTTCAAAGAAACAGTCTAATAAATATCAAACAAAATATTGTTGAATATATGCCATAAATACGTAAAATTTTTATATAGATATTTGTTAGATTTAGGTATTACCACAATTAGGTCTCTATTTAATTTTTTTCTTTGCATTTTTTTTTGTATTTTCATTCTTTATACCACTTCACGTTTTTCCAAATTTGCAGCTACTTTTTCGTTTCATAATTTGATAGATATTTCTCTTCTTTCATAAATTTTCTTAGAGATGGAAATTCTATAAAAAAAATTATATTAGATCACCACCCTAGTAATGATCTTGTTAGCTATCCGATATTTTGTTGGATTTGTTTGAAGGTTCGTATAAGTTTTTTCCTATCAGAAGTTTCAGAAATTACATATATAAAATATAGTATAGTATAGTAAACTTTATTTATTTATATATATATTTTTTTTAATTTCTGACATCTTTTCAATCCAGACTACCCCATTCAGAGAATGCATTCAGGAAATACCAAGGTAGCTGTTATTCAGCTCTCTATTTTCCCCCTATACTTTACCAATTTTTCTGGTAACATGATGTATATTAATTTTTCGAGTATTCATTTATCGAGAATTTCGAAATTCAAATTGCAAGGGACAACCAACCTTCTGAACTTTAAAAAAGAATCACTTTAGCATGGGCCGCGTATGGAGCTCTAGCAGACATCTTTAAGAGCAACATGCCAAATTATTTCAAGAAGTGGACTGCTCAGAGTTAGAAACAAAGAAATAAGAAGGAAAGACGTCACAGATGTCATAGAGCTTAACGGGCGCTAGACCAAAAAATAACAATGTGGAGACCACTAGCTGACAGAAGCTGACAGAAGAAGCAAAGGTGGACGAACTACTTGATGGACAGACGACGTCAAAGGGATCGCTGTGAATTGGCTACAGGAAGCTCAAGACCTACAGAACTGGAAGAAATTTAGGGAGACCCATGTTTAACCATAAACAAAGAATGCTGGATGATGAATAATGATGATGCATTGGAGGAAAATATGTAATGAAACTTGCTGTAGTTGTGTTTACTATTTATTGGAGAATATATCATTAAGAAAAGAAGCTATTTATGAAAAGAAAGAATTGATACTTAGACCTGCTCATAAAATACCAGGTTATCCAACGTTTGATAAGTACTTATGGCTGCTAGACTGTTTATATTCTTTATGGAGACCACTAACTCCATTCTTAGTACTTTTATCCTTTTTCTAAGTAATTTTCACAATTTCTTAGAACTGAACTATGTTTGGACGTTTGTACCAATAAATCTCACAATTTGTTTATCAAAATTTCGTCGAGGTACTTGAGCAAGAGTGCGGATAAGCCATTATTCTATATTTAATTTTCATATGGAAATCTTTTTCTTTACTTTTTGGTTATTTTTATTGGATTCTTTTCGATGTTTCACGAAATTACTAAATAATTGTAGTATTGACACATAAGTAGTAACGTACTGAAGACTTAATTAAGAAATTATAAAGGAACTATTATTTATAAGTGAATGTATAAATTACCTCACATAGTTTAATCACAGCATAAATATATTTTTTAGATCTTTTGAAACATTATTAATTCACTTAATGACAAGTTATTGAAATTATTTTTTTAATTTGAACAGGTTCACATGGGCACACATATGTGGAGCAACGGGGCATCTCGAAGAGGTCGGCGCATGTCCCTCGACCTACCCCCCATCCCCATGACCCCCAAGGATTCCGAATTTCTACAGCGGAGGCCAGATCTCTTTTACCCGTACCTCCCGGCTCCATTCCTTAACGGAATGCAACAGAAGGTAAGATATTGGTAACATTTTAAATGTATTTTAGTCACCTTAAGCTATGGAAAAATTTACCATTTTATGAGGAGTTGGTGAAACTCCTTATGTATAATACATAAATAATACTGGTATAGTTGCAGTACAATATATTGTAGAACGCTTTGAATGTAGCTGTAGTAAGTGTATAAGTATTTTAAATGATTCCTTGTTAATTGTTTAATTACATATTTAATTACCAGCCGCTGTACTATTTCTTAAAGTTTTTCTTCTTAGAGTGCCTGTCCGGTCTGAACGTTGGCGATCATTCCGGCTATGATAACTGTGTTGGTTGCTATACGGAATAGCTATTCTTTAAAATAGGTCCAATCCAATCCCCTTCAAAATAGGTCAAATAGCAACACAGATATAATATAGCGCCGTTTTGGCAATGTTGTCATATTTGTTGGTTTTTCTGTTAGCCTCAGTAACTACTCTTCTTTCCTTCAACGTCTATTATGCAAAAATCCGATCAATAGCAACGAAGATCCGATATAGTACCGTTTTGACAATGCTGCCGTCTTTGTTATTTGTTATAACATATTCGATATCCCATCTTCTTTCATTTGACGTCTCATACGTCAAAATTGGACCCATAACAACGAAGATATGCTGTAGTGCCGTTTTGGCAATGTTTTTGTCTTTGTTTTTTGTTTTAACGTATTGGATATCCCCTTCTCTTTCTTCTAACGTTCTCACGATTTCTCGGACTCTCTCGTTTGTTATTCTGTCGCGTCTAGAGATTCCCGCCGAGCGGCGCCAGAAGCATTTCTGTTGCTCTAAGCATGTTCTCTGTTCTGTCTTTTAGAGGCTATGTTGTGATACTTTTTATTAGGGTGTTGTATATTCTTCTTTTATTTTCCTTAGATCTTTCCTTCTTAAATTTGAGCGTTTTAGTATATTTCTTACCTCAACTATACGTTTTTATTTAATTGCAATTATCCACCTATAGTGGTTTCTAATCTGAGAAATTTTTAGCGGAGTGTCATTAGAATCAAACAGCTCCCAGAATACTCGTCGCAACGAAGTAAGCTGACAGCCTACTCTGCTATAAAGCCGACTCACATTTTGATATTTTATTAACTTATCAATTTATGTTTTATAGTTTTAAAATCGTGTTATATATTAACATATAATTTTGTTCCAGCTGAACGAAATATCCCTAGTCCAGAATAATCACAATGGACTGACCGGAGCCGGCAAATATAGCGGTCTCCTCGGCTTTGGCTATCCGCCGCCAGAAGCGATCCGATCTCAAGCAAACTCTCCCGAGCGGTCTGAAAGACCGCCAAGCCATGAACCCGACACGAGAGGTCTCTGGGATCTCCATTTCGAGAGGAAAAGTGCTGCCGACGCGCCCAGGGAAGATCTATTGCCGCCGACAGCTAATAGGGAGGGATTGGCTGCCTGAAATCAGCGCCCCTGTGGCGCTATTCCTACTTTGCTAGTCTAGAGTAAGGTGTTTCAGATGGTGAATCAAAATTTTGTAATGAGGGATGAGAAAGGAAAGAACTGCAATGGTTTCATGCATTATACTATTTCGTTTATATTCTTAGAAGGTAATATATAGGAACGACAAAGAGTTAAAATTCAATAAAAAACAAAAATATAAGGTAACATATCAAACAAAATGTCCAATAAGTTTAATTTTAAACACTATTTCTTTACTGTACAAAATCAAGACGTCTTATAGCGGCTTCCCACGGTCGACGATATTACGGACGTAAGCGGACCAGCACGCACCACGCACCGTGGGAAGGGTCTCGTCCGTGGTAGCGCAGGCACGTCTGTGCTGGTCCGTCCTATCCATCTAGAGTCGGTAACATCAAAGGTGCGGTACATGCTCGTGCGACGCGATCCTAGCGCGTCTGTGTTTTAACAGACGGCAAGTGCAAGTCAGAAGTTTTTCATTCGCTGACACGAGTAGTTGTCTGTAGTGTTGTCAAAGTTGTTTTGCAGTTTTTTGCTAAAAAATGGAATGGACTAACGAAGTTATTTTTGATTTTTTAAATTTGTATCAAAATGAAACAAATTTATGGAATTCTACGGCACCAGAGCATAAGAAGCGGAACCGATATATACGATGTATGGAACCAAATAAAAAATCAATTAAAGAATAGTACTATTTCGATTAAAGAATTAAAAAAGAAGAGAAATAATTTAATGCCGAATTTAATGTTTACAAGTCTGAGTGGCCTTTTTATGATATAATCAAACAATACTGTCACGGACCTACACAGACTGTCACGGACCGTAGGAAGAGCTCTGTCTGCGGTGCGTTCTCGTCCGTGCTGATCGGCTGTCCGCGATGATCTGTAGAATCGCCGACCGTCGGAAGCCACTGTTAGGATATCCCAATACACTATCTCGATGAAAAACAAAACATACCTCTTATCAGAATTCGAACATTTATTCAGATAACAGATTTGGATAAAATTTGGGATGTTTGGGTATCTATTTCTCAAAATATTAAGGAAATAATAAAATTTCTAAAATGATCCAAGGGGTTCAAATAATCAAAGACATACTTCAATGATATTTAAAACGAAAGAATCAAAATTTAGTTTATGTTAACATTTTTTTAATGTGTAATAGCCATCAAACTGCGTCATAATAATTCCGTGAATAATGTCCTCAATCAACCGATAAAATTAATTTTACATCATTTCATATAAAATGCGGTTCACGTAAATAAATAAAATGATTATTACGTCAGTATTTTAATCACCAACTTTTTAAAACGTTTTACTACATATATTCTTAATTTAAGAATATCTAATTGGTTTTATGTATTTAATTAATAGGTGTTCACAAAAGTTAAGCTAACACGTGCGTTCTGGAATTATGTAGCCCGCAGGATCCTTTTAAAAATCCTTGTTCGGTCATTTTAATGGTGTATAAGTATTAAAAGGAATAATGTTTTTATCCTAATAGCTGAGGAAGACCTATCCTTCATCAGTGGATGCGTACAGGTTCACGTTGAGGGAAAACATGTATTTTCTATCTACATACTATTTGAGACACTTATCTGGTCCACAAGGAAAATAATTCCTGCAGCTGGCTGTATACCAAGTATCACAAAAAAAGAGGTTAATCTTTGTAATTTGTAATGGTGAGTGAAAACATAACCATTTCTAGAGGGGTAAGACAGGGCTGTATTCTTTCGCCACTGCTTTTCAACCTGTACACGGAACAAATATTTCTAGAGGCACTAGAAGAGTACAATGAGGGCATCAAGATTAATGGCGTACCAATAAGTAATTTGCGATATGCAGATGATACTATTATACTGGCCGATAACATCGAAGATTTACAGATGATGCTACATAGTTAATGCAACTGGCAGCCGATTTGGACTGAAGATCAATAGAAAGAAAACTAAATTTATGGTGATCAGTAAAAAAAAAATTTCAACATATCGACCTGCATATTGAAGACGAACGTATTGAAAGAGTACACCGATTTAAATATCTGGGATATACAGTAAATGACAAGTGGGACCCAGAAGTAGAGATTAAGATCCGAATTGAAATAGCAAGATCCAAATTCATCAAAATGAGAAAGCTCTTAAGCAACCGCAACCTAAGCATTAACCTCCGATGGCGCGCCACGAAATGCTACGTACTCTCTACGCTACTTTACGGCGTAGAAGGGTGGACGTTAACAGCAGCAACTATAAAGAAGTTAGCGGCTCTAGAAATGTGGCTGTATTGACGCATACTGAGAATACCTTGGACAGACAGAGTGACCAACACAGAGGTATTAAGACGAATGGGTAAAGAGGTGGAATTGTTAACAACTGTTAAAAGGAGGAAAGCGTCATACCTGGGCCATGTGTTCCGTAATGATAACTACAGTCTGCTACAGCTTATCGTGGAAGGCAAGATTGAAGGTAGAAGAGGTTTGGGCAGAAAGAAGAAATCCTGGCTGAGAAACTTAAGAGAATGGTTTCAAATACCAGAAGCTGCGAACATAATTCATGCGGCACAAAACAGAGAAACCTATCGTATGATGGTCGCCAACCTTCGGTAGAAGACGGCACATAAAGAAAGAATCTTTGTAATTTGGTATATTTAAAAAAAAATAATAGATAGATAGATAGATAGATAGGTTTATTGACAATTTTTACATAGTAAACACTACATGTCATGTCACAATAAAAATAAGTCACTTTTGTAAACTAAGAACTAAGAAATAATACAAGAACACATAATAAAACATATAATATAATATATAATTATAAAAATATAATTTTTTAAATATGCCAAATTACAAAGATTAACCTTTTTTTTTACTTATCTAATGTATTTTTTCTATTGTTTTTTGAGATCAGATGTGGAAACTTCCGCGAGTAACTACGTCCATGTTACCTATTCCGCGACATCAGCTTTGACCGATCTGATTCTAGCTGATCCTCCTCCTCCTGTATTTTTTCTCCTTCGTAATGATGTAGGGGCGTCATGTAATTTGTTTTACTATTTCTGTCCGATTATCTCTCTCCTGTGCGTGTTGTTTTGCTTCTAATAATGAGTAACCAATCATGTCCTTTATTTGGTCCGACCATCGTACTGGAGATCTTCCTCTGGATCTTTTACCCGCCACATTACCTTCAACTATCATTCGCTCCATGCTTTCTCTTCTTGTAATTATATGTGCAAAATATCTCAGTATATTTTGGTTGATAGTTGTGGTGAGTCTAGTTTTTATGTTTAGTTGTGCTAGAATTGAGTCATTTGTGCGATGGGCGGTCCATGGTATGCTTAATATTCTACGGTAGACCCACATTTCAAATGCCATTATACGCTTTGAATCGTTTTTTTTTTGTCCAAGTTTCTGAAGCATAGATGGCGATAGGAAATATCAATGCTCGAACAAGGCGTAATTTGGTATTTTTTGTGATGTCAGTGTTCTTCCAAATTTATGTGAGCTAAAGCTCCAAAGTCTAAGTAATGAAATTGCCTGTCCACTTCGTAACCTACCATGTTTCTTATCTCTGCTTGGTTGTTTCTGATTCTATCGATGATCATCACTTTGGTTTTCTGCATATTTATTTTTAAACCATCTTTCGTACTCACCGTGCCTATTCTATTCATAATTTGTTCCAGTTCTTCTGGTGATGACGCGAATATAACAGTGTCATCAGCATAACGTAGGTTTTTCATGTTTCTTCCTCCTATCGTTGCTCCACCTTGTCATTGCCCCCTGTCGAACTCCAAATTTTAATTTGAAGTTTTTCGAAACCACATTATTAACTCTTACATTAGCAGTATTATTTACATATAGTTTTTGTACATGACTATGTTCTCTTGTTCCTCTACCTGGGACATATTTGCATTATTTTTGGGAATTTGTGGTAAGAGAATTGATTTTAGTCTTTCATTGATGATGGTTAGCAGTACTTAGAATGTTTCAGTTGTTATTCCATCTTCTTCTTCTGCTTTTCCGAATATTAGCTTTTTAATTGCCGCCTCAAATTATGATTTCACTATTTGAGGTTCTTTTTCATAACTTATTCCGTACAAGTGTTTTATAGTTGTATGTTATGGTGCATATTTTTAAACTTTTCCGGGTGTTTTGGAATCAATTTTTGTCTTTTATTTGTGATTGTTTTACTGTGTACCTTGCGTGTAATCTGCTTGTAACATTTTGTGTTCGAAAACACAGTCTTCACGTTGATTATTGATCTGATAGCGTTGCATATTTTCCCAAATACTTTCCAAAAACAGTTTTTTTTTTATTTTAGTCAGTCTGATAATAATTTTTGTACAAGAAAGTATATTTTATTCTATAATTTTTGCTAGGTCAGGAAATAAATTATTCATCTTCAAAAGTCGAAAAAATTGCATAAGATTCGTCATAAAAAATGTTTATTTTCCTATTGATTGTTGACAAACAACCTCACACGACGAAAAATACTTTCACAAGCAGGTGATAAGTAAACCAAGCCAGAGTATTAGCATAAAAGCATTGCTTTACATAATAATCTAAAAAATATGCGAATTTTTGTAAATATTGTCGAAGGAGTTCACAGATTAGATACGATTTAAAACAGATTAAAATCGCAACATAAGTGTTATATTAATCAAATTAAAAATGTAGCTGTTTGAAATAATTTAGAAGATATTTTTTAGTATAGTGGAATAATAGTTCGCAAATGAGGAAGCTCTCGATCGTGAGAAAAGACCATACAGGTTAAAATTGCTTTATAGATATGGAGTAACTTGTTAATTAAATTCTCAAATTACCAAATGATGAAAAGCATAACTTCTATGATGGAAAGTAATTACCTTTAAGTTACATAGATAAAGTGCAGTCTTATGCTTAACTTCAGAAACACCAATGTTACGATCATGCAGAGAAAAAACTAACGCAAGTCCGCTCCATCCTAAATAAAGAATGTTTTTAAAGCAT